CGAGTAATTTGGAGTGAAGGAACCATGCCAGCACCTTTTGTGTGAAAGGCCAGTCAGTGCGGAGCATCGGCGTCGCTCCAAGGAGAGCAGCGAGGGCGCGAAGGAGGGGCTCTCAATGCTAAATATAGATCTCCACAGAAGTCCCGAAAGCTCGCCGCCAAGCCGACGCATCTTATCGAAACTTCGGAACGAAGACAGGAAGCCAAAAACGTCGCATTATAGAGGAACGGCTCGAAAGAATTATTTAGGAACCACGGAGGGATGGCTCTCGACCGATCCGATGATGAGCTCATAGGTGGACGTTGGTAGTGCTATCAAAAGAATGCGGCTCCAAGAACAGTCGTCTACGCTATTGACTCGATCAGGGAGTGAATTTCGACGAGCGATCATCAATCATTTCGTCGAGCAATTTATTTGCGGCGGCAACGATCGTCGAAAAGCTTCTCAATTGGCTTCGACTTGAAGGCGAGCCAGTTGGGAGCGATCATGAGGTTCTCTCGGAACAGCGTATCCGGGACATCTCATGCGATACGACAAGTCATCCGCCCCGATAGCTACGACTGCCACAATGTGCCAGAGCATTGCGGCTGACACTTCGCGCGTTTTGCATGGGGTGCCCCTTTTTCGAAATGGACGTTCCTAGAACTTCTGCCCATGCGCTCCCCTCCATCGCGTTCGCTCGAGTTGAGTCGTCTGCTAGACCGAGAAAGGATCCGGCAATTTTTTCCCAGCGCAGCCTTTCTCAAGGGGCGGCATTTCGCAGACAGAGCTTTCTCGTTTTCACTGTGGTCTGTCTCCTTTTTTCCTCCCCCATGCGGAGCTCGCAGGGATGACATGACCTCAGGGGCGAACAGGAAGTCGGCCATAACCGAAGAGACGAATGAGACGACCGATCGAGAAAAACACAAAAAACCCCACTCTGTTCAAGAATTCAACGCCAGAGAAGCTCTCCCTGTACCCCGCGTCCCCGCTCCCCCGTCTCACGCTGCATCGATCCGTTTCACTGATGGACGCGGATCGTTTGCCGCGAAAAACTCTTTGCCGATGATTCCGTCCACAGTCTATAAATAAAAGCGACAGGAATAAAAGTTTGCTATGCTCGTGCTCTCTTATTTACTCAGATAGGTGACAGACAAGAGGGCATAGGCTTCGGTGGGTCCGATCCCTCAGCCCAGATCCACCGGAGAGATAAGACAAAGCCGGGGCCAGTTCAAATTCGACGCAGTCCAGGTCGTTGGCTCACAGCGGCCTACACACTCCGTTTTATTGTACGTGTCCGAGAGTTTGGAGGCCGTTCCATTAGGCGGCTTTGTTGCTACTGTAGGCCGCGCAGGCGGCCGACAACGAGGCAACTCGATTCCGCTAATTCGGTCGTTACGGCATCCCTCCGTCTGTGTAAGGCCTGTTCGCTTTGTGACTTCTGTAGAGCACTTTTTCATTCCGTCGAGTGTCGTTTTGAATACACCCCGGATCGCCATCTTTCGTTCATTTCCCGCCGACTGCTGGAAAAGAATGCATCGATCCACTCACTCGTTAGCCTGAGGCTGACACCTCGCCCCGTCCCTGGCGTGCCGAATCGATGTGAACCACTCTCATTCCAACGATTTTTTCTTCGCTGGGGAGTCCAGGATATGGACTCCCAGCGAGCGAACGTCCCTAGCTCATCACACTAGCGATGGAATAAATCTTCGATTGCTAGTGGGCCCCGACTCGGCGGCTCTAAATTATCAACGTTTTTCGAGCCCAAGAGCTTTTCTGGGGCTATTCGGTGGTTTGGAGCAGCATCGCGCAATCTTGTTCCCTCGATATCCCTGGAATATCTCGAAGCGCTTCGGAATTCCTCAGATTGCTTGAAACGCGTTCGACAGTCATGCATCCGTCACACGGACGAGTGAGGTGATAACATCCTTGATACGCAGTGGCGCATCGCAATTAACGTCTGAGTGAGCCTCCTCCTGTTCGGTCACAGTTGAGGAGTCGCCGGTGTTGACACTCCCCACCCATACATGACTTTCGCGCAGAGAGAAGTCGCACCCGGCTTCACCGTTAAACGTCCCCGCCGGCACTGTCGCGTCGTTGACGAAAGCTGCGGCAGGCGACTAATAAATCAGGGAGTCGATGCGATGTTCGAATCTTGATGCGGATCCCTGCTCATTGGCATGGAGTTCAGAAGATGGGCCAGAAAAGCTCCCGACGGGATTCCCGGCTTGCATACATAGGCATCGATCAGATCAGAGAAATTGATTGAGGAACCGGAGAATCGATAAAAAAGCTGTCTAGCCATGCCCCCGACGTACGAGTCGTAAGCCCGAGCTCAGTTGCTCGAAGTGATATTTCTGGACGAGTTCGAGTTTCTGGATGAGATCTCGATGCTCGGGGTGGGAGGGTGTGGGAGAGACGGGAGGGGGAATGACTCGATCATCGATGCTCAGATTGTCCTCTCCATGGATTTGTTCGGGTGGCTTCGATCATCGTTCCATCTCCCAGTGACGCTCCTCACTGCGCGGAACCGCTCGACGAAAAAAGCGAAACTCTGCACGAAACTCAGCTCGGGGGCCTCGCTCCCTTGAATCAGTTTCATGAAGTGAAGCCTCGAGACAGGCGTTCAGGTCACATTCCATTCAGACAACCGCTCCGACCACTATGATGCAGTCGATGCGCTGTACGTCTACATGAACATACGGTGCTCGCGTAGCATTTCCATCGACTGGCAGATTCCGGATCGGCACCGATCCGACTCGTCCCCGCCGTCGTCTGTTTTCCCTCCCTATAACTCAGGCGTGATCTTTGTCTGACAAAAATGCCTCGGTCGAGGCGAGTTCTCAGCGAATACATCCGATGTTGGGGGAGAATGCCGAGCTGGCATCGATGGTCCCGAGACTCTGCAGACGCTCGATTGAAGCCTCTGGGCGGCCCGTCATCCTCGGCTCCCATAAGGCCCATTCGAATTTCAATGATTCACGGTCGAGCTCGTCCTTTGATTTAGAAGAAAAAGAAGATTCAGAAGTCTTTGTGTCAACGACTCACGGAGACGTCGGCCGCGAATAACAATCGATTCCCGTGGAAACCTGATGGAGTCTCCATGAAGTATGATGAGTCGATTGTGGAGACGAGACAGCCTAATAATTTGAGCCCCGGAAGTACCTTCCATGCTTCTATCGAGATCGAAGAAGAGGGAAGTATTTGAGTTTTGACATTCGGCCACGACGAAGGGGACGTACACGTCAATCACCGACGACAGACGTCAACAGACACTCAACGGAAGTACAACGCGAGAAACGCAGGCACGCAGAATCGCAGATCACCGCTCATCCTGAACGCAACGTCGAAGCTGCCTGTTTGCTGAAAGAAAGTCAATGCCTCCGACGGCGTCATCGACACAGTAGTGAGCGAGGAATAGAGAACACGGTCGCGTCACTGTGCCGTCCACGTTTTTTTGTCGTGCTCTCGGGATGATGATGAGCCAATCGTCATTGCGTTCGCGTAGATCATCAGAGCCTCTCGGCAGGATATCTTTGACAACTTTCTTTCCCAGAGCTAAAATTCATCCTCCCACAAGATCCAGGAAATTCTTCGAATGTTTCTCTTTACATAGCCGGAGCGGGCGCAAGGAACGACCGAACCTTTTTCCGTTGTCCCGAAATTCTTCTCTTCTTCCATCAGTCTCGATGACTTCGGCGATTCTCGGTACTCGGGAGATCTTTTAAAATATCCTCAAGTTTCTGACACTTGGCCCACATTCCTCGTCATGCCGAAACTTCTTGCCTTCTTGGCTGCCGGGATTTTTTTTTTTCGCAGCTTGGGCTCCCATCGCGACTTTCCCGTCGAAGCTTCGGACCGAATTTGTTTCATAACAGCAGATGCACAGTAATTCGAGAGCGTCATCCCCGCAGAAAAGCTATTCCCTCTTTTCTACCACTGCATTCCTTCAAAGCGCGACGTTGGTCGTTCAGGCTCCCGGTCGACCCCGCACTTCAGTCATGGAGTTTCCGCGTACAGGGCAGAATCCCGCCCTAACGCAAACGACTTCATAAAGTTCGTTCGAAACGAGCTGGCTTTCCCGCTTTTGCCCGCTCGGATTTTTCATTGTTCGCGTCTTCCATGTGCCTTCGACGCTCAAGATTTCCTCCCGCACATACATGCATTCATCTGTTCCGCGCGCGAGCGAATGATTGAAGTGATGGATGGATGAGTGGAACATTTTCGTCTCAGCAACGAAGATGGCTCAAGCAAAAACTCCGAACCGCCTCACTACGACGACCGGGATTCGGTCGATTGAATCTGCGTGCACGAGAACGGCACCGAGGTCACCGGCCACAGAATCACAGCCCCGGGACGGCTTCTACCAGTCCTACCCGATGAGCCGGCGTGACACAATGAGGTCTCGGCTGTTCATTGGCTTGCGAGGGAAACTCATCCTCCATGAGCGTCTAGGACCTACAGGTGAGCTCGATTTCCGTCTGGTAGGAGTTCCCGCCCGCCTGCACACTGTCCCTCGGTCCCAAAGGATGTGCTCTTCTGAATGCATCGATGCATCTTCTGATGAATACGAGAGCCACCCCTTCCGATCGACCTTTGTTCTGAGGGAAACTCCCGCTCGGTGACGGTTTTCTGTCTGGCCGTAGCGCTCTACAATAACCGAAACGCACAGGATTGTTTCCAAACGAACCATTGATGGATCAGAAGGCCGGATTCGGAAGCCGAAGTTCGAGGCATTGGAAATCGGCCCAGACTGAAGAGACGTACTCGGGAGACGGCGACAGAGTCGATTGAGACCCGAATGCAAGATTCGAATCAGCTGATGTGAGGTCAAGAGAGACAATCGAGTACCTGAGTGATCGTTCACCGCAATCGAGAAACCGAAGGGTCAAGAATCATCTGGAGCAACGTAACGTTCTCCCATAATTCTGATTGCCCAGAAGTTTACTGGAGCGGCCTCATGCGTCATGCAGTACCGGTTCCCCTACGGACCGAATTTCAATGATCATAATCGAACTCACTTTTTATGACCCGTTCGGTGGTGCTGATTTTGTTGGATTGAACAGAAGATGCCGAAGTATTCGCTCCAGGAGTGGAGTTAGCGTTGCTGGACATTTTCTATGGCTTGTGTTTGTATCTGTTTTTCACACTAAACAAGAAAACGTATTTCTCCTTCTTGATGACTCCTCGTCGTATTCGTCGTCTCACTTTTGTCAGCCGGACACGCTGTGCCGACTTTTAACAAAGTTCGCGGTAAGCTCAATTCGTTTGGCGTTCAACAACCCGTCAATAGCTCCTAGGAGTTGAGTTTGGATAAGCTCTCCATGCTTGAGGAGGCTCTTCTGACGTCGAGTTTCGTATCTCAAGGTCGTGGACTGTGTCGTGTGTCAGGCGGCAGCCCTTTTTTCACCTGGAACGAAGTACGTTTCGCTGTTAGAGAGATATAGGCGTAACTATAAATCAACATGACGATAAGAGCCATGTCTGAAAGATGGAGTCGGTCTAGATGTTTTCGAAAGCGATTCATCTTTTTGTGATAGCGAGCAGCATCGTCTTTTCAACAGGTTCATGCTTCAATGAATCCAGGGTCTGTCCACGAGAACAGCGTCCTCATAGGTCTCGCGACACTGTCTCGCAGCGCCGGAGTCGATGCCAGAACGGCTTGAGCCACGGCGGTTAACTCCGTTCAAGACTTCAATCAAAACAACACCGGCCCAGGAGGCTAGAGAACCGAATCGATGATTTAATAATTCCGTGCTCTTCGGCCTCGTTCTCGGGAAGCTTCCTCAGAATGACATAGTGTCCGCAGGTCCAACTGCTTCTTCCGGGACTCCTAACGAAGATCCCCTCAGCCAACGGAACGAATTGAAGCGTTCCGTGGATGAAATTCACTGCGCGAAGGGACCTCGGCATAGGAGACGGAATGGCTCCGATATCCCTCTGAAGGCTTGAGTGTCGCTGCGGTCAGCTGCAGTGACCGGTGGTGGATATATATATAGATGAACGGAGGTCAAGAAGGAAAAACAGATAAAGAACAAAGACAAAGATCCAGAGGTCGTACGTATCTGCCCCTCGGGCAACGGCGACCCTTCTGACCGACACCGATACACAAGCAACGAAGCGAGCGAGTCGATCGGTCGGTCGGTCGACGATCCGCCAGATCGGATGAGCTACAGGACACTCGAGCAAAAGTTAATCGAAGGAGACCGATGCAGGTATAGGTATGTAGTGGAAGCAGCATCGTTTTGATGCTTCAGAGCGGCGTCCATCGGGGATCGTTCGGCATCCAACCGATCGGACTGAAGTTACTCAAGCTCAAGACGATCACTTCCCGGTTGGGTTTTCGGTGTGCTCACGAGACGGACGAGACCGGACGTCTCCGGGAGACGGGGAAAGCTCCGTCGACGCGGTATACGCTCGAAGATATCTAGCGCTCGAATCTAGCACTCGACTTCAGAGAAGCGTGAATCGATTATAATCGGATAGATCCCTTTGTCCCCAGGAGGAATTTCGGAAATCTACCGAGATTGACAGCTCAAGCTCGGAAGAGTATGAAGCTCGGATGAGCTGCCGCAGCTTGTTGATCCGCTGGAGAGCCAGCACTATTTCACCCGATTCATCCCGCGGGATATTCTGACGATGAATTCCCGTAAATTCTTGAAGTCGAGCGGCTTCTCGGAACGCAGTCTCGACACGAATTTTTCCCGTCCGAGAGCATTAGACTGGAACCGAGAATCGATTCGAGGCCGCGTCGAGGGTCCCTAGATGTGTCATAAGATCGGAATAGGAGTCGAATAGTCCGCTGAATTTTCGAGCAAAACGGTCGAGAGTTGAGAATGTCGCTCCCGAGAGTTTGAGGGTCGAACTCGCTGCGAGCGATTTTGCGAGCGAGCGTTCCCTGCGACGGTCGACGTATATCGTATCGAGTATGCTCGTATGCAAAAAAAGTGCTGGCTCTTCAGCATACAAGAGGGAAACAGAACTCATGCACGGGCGGAAGTGCACTCATGTGTTTCTGCGGCCACGTACGGAGTAGGGCCCCCAAGTGTAGGGCACTGCCCACGCGAAGACGAGAGCATTGTTGCGGACCTCGAACGATCGGTCGAGCGGAGCTCCCAAGGGGGATGCTTCCTATTTACTCCGGGATCACTTGACAGTTCAGCTCTGGCTGGGAGAAGAAGACTCTACGACGACTGCAGTGCTCTGAGTTCCTAATCCGAAAGTCAACGTCGAGCCGGGACCCCGAGAAAGCTCGTCTTTCGTCACAGGGTTTTTACTTTTTAGTCAGGCTTCTAGACCGCTTCGTGAGATGGGCCAGTGGCCTGAACGGTGGCAACCAGCGGGCCGGACCGCCGCTTGGCAGCGGATAGTGAGGGTAGAGAACGATACCCTAGCTCTCGTGCTTTGTATCGGTCAGTTAGTGGTCGCTCGTTTCGTTCATTGGTGATTTTGAGATTGCCCGAATCGGCTGAAGCCGCGACCGCTCGTTCGAATCGAGGGAGAGCATCAGCGGAATTTTCTTCCCGCCTCTGTCAGATGAATTCAGAGCCCAGAGGATTGTATCTGTTGGATACCGAAGTCGAGGAGAGCTGAGGAGGGAGCTTCGGAAAATCTCGGAATCCCAGAGGGAGCTTCGGAAAAGTGATATTTATCCGTCGATCTGCTGGGATTCGCTCGGGTCATTTGTGCTGACCCCACAATGTAATCAGAGCGGCGGTTACTCGCATTACCGCGAATAATAGCGGGGGTTCGGAAATCGTTGGCAAACTCTGCCGAGACCGAATATTTTGTTCAAAGAGGGATAGACGGAAGTCATCATGAGATCAGAGAGCGCTTCCGATCGACTCAGAGCTCGATTCGGGGAATCATTCCGAATGTCAATAAAGAAAGGATCTGCTGTAACCGAAGGGAAGTTCGGACCCTCGGGACCGGTCCCGAGTCATTCCCAGCTGTATGAAGCTGATTGAGATTCCGGTAGATTCCAGAGGGGGGTGTCTGGAAGCTCCGACGAGAAACCATTGAATTTCTAAGCTAAACCAGAAGCAATCGATGTTTGTTGAACACTCACGAGAATCTTTCGTCGGAGCTGTCACGCTCGAGTTGCTCCGAAATTAAACGCTTTGTCGTTGCTATGATGATTGTTGTTCAGGCGACTCTGCATAGAACTGTTACAGCAGCGCTGCTTTCGGATTTTCTATTCCCGATGAAACGAGTGGTTATCAGTCACTGTTTTGTTTCAGATGGTACGGTATGAGCGCTTGCACGACCGCATCCACGCACGCACATAAGCACGCAGCAAGGAATTAGCAGACGGTGGTTTTGTTGATGTTGACGCTATTTCTGTTGTTCCTTGTTCCGTTGCTCTACTCGTCGCCGCTGTCCAAGTCAGTGCTGTCTTCGTTGTTGGATTCACGAAACAGCTGTTGTCGAGGACGCGGTCACAGAATTCTGATCTGCGAGCAAGTTCTGACGGACAGACAGAAATCCAGAGCAGGTCTCGATCGATCGATTGGTTGAGTGATTGATTGATTGATGGATGAATCGACCACGCGACGGAAGAAACGACGACTGCCGAATCAGACAGATGAACGCGCTTTGGAAACCACGATATCCGAGCTTCGAGCGGTACGGGCCGCAACAAAGAAAGTGCTTTCGCTCGTTTTCGCGAGGTGTGCTTCCGCTAGCTGTTTCGACCCGCGCCCAGAGACTCTCTGCATTTCTCTCCGGTGAGTTGATTGTTGGTTGTTGGGCTTTTTCGTTGGTGCTTTGAGTATTTGTTTCACTCGCGCTCACACAGACGACGAAAACTGCTGCAACACTCACTCACGTACACACGCACTGTAGATGATAACCACCGGTAATCGACGTCGAAAACGGTGGTTTCGCGCACTCTACTTGATTCACAGACGTTATTTGCTGCTGTCGTTCTTGTTGCTGTAGCGATTATCGTTGCGGGTCTAACGCACGATTCACGAATGATCTCCGCTACGAATGATACGATGCTTGTTGTTGCTGCTGGAATTTTTACAGTTGCTGTTGTTTTTGTTGTTGATGCTGTTGTTGTTGTTGATAAATGTGATTGGTGATGACGATTGACTTTCGAGCGGCGGAAACATGTCACTCACAACCTCACAGTGGCTCAGCCCTTGAAGTTTTCACCAGTGCGTTCGCGGCCGACAACAGCTACGATGACTTGCTGTTGAGACTTTTCCCCGTTCGGAATCGTATTTGTCGTCGCTGTGGCTACTCGACGACGACGACCGACCGACAGACGGAAGGAAGACAGACGACACTGCGAGCAGCAGCGGCCCCGTACTTTCTGCTTTCCCCCTTTCACGCTGCTGCAGCACAAACAACACGCACACCTCACCCGCTCATCCCTGGCGTACTCGGTTTTCCGGTCGACGTTGTGGTCGGATGTTTCAGGAAAAACGAAGCCTTGGATACCGTCGACCGATGCGGCGAACGAAACCGAGACCAGTCGTTCGCTCACTCGCTCTCCAGCCGGTACTAACGGCCGGTAGGGTCGTTCGTGTTGGCGGTGGCGACGGTCGCGCAGCGCGGAATTGTCAAGGGCTCGAGATTTCTTCTCTTGCAGTCGCTCACTGGCCGTCGTCACTCTCGGACGGCGACTTCTGCTGTACACCACGAACAAAGGAAACTGCTGCTGTTGTTCTAGCACGCACGAAAAAACTCCCCGAGCCACTTGTGGTGATGCGGCTGGTGACTTGCTCCGGAGAGCAGCAAGGGACCCTGTTGGTTGAGCTCGTTCCTCGAACGGTTATTTTCTGTCCAGCCAGTCAGTCGAGGGGCTGGCTCAGAGGTGTTCTCTCTGCGGCTCCGACTCCAGGTGGGAGATCCAGCTCTGGCACCGATCGAGAGCAACTCACCGGATGAGCCACCTGCTTGTTCGCTGGGCCGTTCCAGAGAGCTGATCTGCCTATCCAGCGGCTCGGATGCTCGAAACTTTTGCTCGCTCGTTGGCTGGTTAGCCAGCTAGCTAGCTAGCTAGCTATCCGGCCAAGTGACCGACTGAGCGAGCGATCGACTGATTGACTGTACGAATGAACGACCGACTGACTGACTGACTGAACGGCTGACAGACCGAATGGGGG